TTAAATCGATAGCACTTTAATATAGGCTCGGAGACTTTTATTTATTAAACTAATTCGTAATTACCTGATAAAAAATTATTATTATTAAATATATTACGTTTACATTTATTAATAGAGCATTTGTTCCTGGGTCTGACACTGTTCCCTCTGTATTTACTACAAAATATTTAACTAATGTGAAGCAGGCTAATTATCACGGGCTTCTGTTTAGTGTAGTTATGAAAGTTATTAAGTGTATCTTTCGCTTCATAAAAACTACAAATATATATGTATAGATGGTAAGTGTTAGAGACTCTACTTATAAAGAGAAAGATATGTTTGCAAAATTTATCTAGCTGTAATACCTACAGTAGATATACATAGATATAAAAAATTAAAATAACGATAAAATATAAATTAATAGTACGTATATATATAAAAAAAAATTAAATATTGAAAACGAGGAAGAAGTGCTATCTTCGGCACACCGAAGATTTAATACCCTTGCAGACCCAACCTTTTTAAAATGCTCATAGTGCTTTGCCCGTATCTAAGAAGCACATGGAAAATAGTTAATGCCGAGTATGGTTAAGATATCGTGAAAAACAAAACAGGTTTCCATACAACAACTTAATTTTCGACCGATCGTTCCTATGGCAGCTATATGATATAGTAGCCCGATGTGGATAAGTTTTTGCATAAGTGGAGGGATCATAGTAAAACTAATAAATGCCGAGTTTGGTCAAGATATCTTGAAAAACAAAAAAAATTCCATACAACAGCATAATTTTCGACCGATCGTTCCTATGGCAGCTATATGATATAGTTGTCCGATCTTAATAGGATTTTGCATATATGTATGTATGAAGAGTATAGTAAAACTAATAAATACCGAGTTTGGTCAAGATATCTTGATAACACATAAAAAGTTTTTCACTACAAGAACTTACTTTTCGACCGATCGTTCCAATGGCTGCTATAAGATATAGTTATTCCGATGTTAATAAGGATCTTGCATAAATGTAGGTAGCATAGTCAAATCTACTAAATGCCGAGTTTGGTCAAATTATTTTTAAAAACAGAAAAGTGACTAGAATATCGCATATATATGAGGAACGATGTTGATAGGATTTCGCATATACATGAGACGCAGAGTAAAAGTAATACATGCCGAGCCTACTTTAAAGACGATCGTTCCTATGGCAGCTATATGATATAGTGATTCATCCGGTTCCGAAACATGCACTTTTGCAAAGTTTCATGACGATAGCTTTAAAACTATATATACATTATTGGGTCAGAGATGTTTCCTTCTATGCGTTATAAAAAGAATAAGGGTAAGGGTAAGAATAAGAACAAGGGTATAAAAAAGAATAAAAATACAGTACAATAACTCCCTAAAACAACTTTGTTCTAAGCCCATTATATTAGACACCCCCGAAATGAGAATTAACTACTAACGGGCTTACAGTAATGGCCACCAGTATTAAGTACACGTTAAATCAATTATAGAAAAAAACATATATTCGCATATAATTAATATAATAATAAGTATAATACTATTCGTTATTTCAATTACTGTATCTTTTGAACTTCCCTATTGTTATAATACCCTTGCAGAAGGTATTATAATTTTGTCGTGAAATGTGTAATAGAAGGAGACATCTTCGACTCCATAGCCGAGTCGATATAGCCATGTCCGTCTGTCTGTCAGTCCGTCTGTCTGTTTCTATGCGAACTAGTCTCTCAGTTTTAAAGCTATCTTTATGAAACTTTGCAGAAGTCCCTCTTTCTTTTGCACGCAGTACATATGTCGAAACCAGCTGGATCGGACTACTATATCACATAGCTGCCATAGGAACGATCGGTCGAAAAGTATATTCAAACTCAGCATTTAGTAGTTTTACTATGCTCCTCATATATATGCAAAATCCTATTAAGATCGGACCACTATATCATATAGCTGCCATAGGAACGATCGGTCGAAAATTAAGTTGTATGGAAAATTTGTTTGTTTTTCACGATATCTTGACCAAACTCGGCATTAATTTGTTTTACTATGCTCCTCATATATATGCAAAATCTTATTAAGATCGGACCACTATATCATATAGCTGCCATAGGAACGATCGGTCGGAATTAAGTTCTTGTATGGAAAACTTTTTTGTTTTTCACGATATCTTGACCAAACTCGGCATTAACTACTAACTACAACGCACTATGACCATTATGAAAAGGTTGGGTCTGCAAGGGTATTAAATCTTCAAAATGCCGAAGATGGCCCTTCCATCTCGTTTTTTTTATCTCTTTCGATATATCTTTTTTCTTTTCTTACCCTTCCCCTGCCCCGACTCGAGGTTGGTCGTCCGGCATTCAAAAATAATTCAAACATCAAAATATTAGGCGACTTACTATTTTTAATAATTAAAAGAACGTGCAAGAAGCATTGTTTCATCTCCCCTTGACCCACAGCCCATATTTTCGACGGAGATGAGCCGCATCAAGCGCTTACTCCACCGAACATGCATTCATCAACATCTGCACGGCTACAATCAAAGGCCAGAGTTTAAAAAAAATACAAAAAACAAGTCATAAATGCGAATATATGCTAGAGAAGACTTCATAAGAGCGATAACCTTGCTAAATGCGACCTTGATCGGCAGTTGTCTAAGGAGAAATAGTCAACTAAAAGCCTCAGGGGCCAGCACTGCGTGATTAACGGTACCAAATTCATCAAAAGAAACCAAGGACTATGCAGCGACGATTATATACTTGATACGGTTGGAGATAGCTCCTTTCACAAATTCTCAAAATTCGACGTGCCGAACGTGGCTGTTAATAATTTAATTTATATATGCATATTTATTTTTAATTCACTTTATGTCAATATATGTTATTGAAGACTGATTAAGCTTAGCTTCGATCCAGGGTTGCAGCATATGAATATTCGCATAGAGTCCGGGAACATTCTCATTGCCACAGTCCACGCCTCCGACAACGATGCCGACCAGGTTATAGCGAGTAGACTGGGTGCTAGTGGGACAGACAAGGGGGGCGCCGCCATCACCAAAACAGGCGTCCTTGTCCTTCTCGCCGCCGGCACAGACGAAACTGCTGTGCAGCTCATAATAGGGGCCAAGGCGGGTATTGCGCAGCTGTGCCTGGCACTCGGCATCACTCACCAATGGCATTTCGATCTTCTTCAATATGTGTGGATAGCCTGGATCATCGAGATTACGTTTGCCCCAGCCTGTGACGAGACAGCGGCTCGAATCGACGAAGAGCTGCCGTCCCGGCAAGCAGATGATGTCAATGTGCTCGTTCAGTTTAAAGGGTGTACTCAGCAGAAGTAGAGCTATGTCATTGTAGCCGGTTTCCACATTAAAGCTCTCGTGAATGAGTTTCGTCTTCACTTTGCGGTCCTCGTGAGGCAAAGCTTCAGCCATGCTTTTTATATCCCATTCGCCAGCCCGCACCAAGAGATTAGAAGCCGAGGAAGCCCTGTTGAAGATGTGAGCAACGGTCACAACTACATTTGGCGCCACGAGGCTGCCACCGCCCAGAACTTCATATGCACATTGGCTGCTGGAGCAATTCTTGTTCAGAATGGCCACCATCCACGGGAATTGGCCAAATTGCGATTCATTGTTGTCAGCATTTTCTATGGTTATTCGGACGCCCTTCGGATTGCTATAGCCACAGCCTCTCGTCGTGTATTCCTTCTCCCGGATCGATCTCTGGGAATTATTATTATCATGATGAGCGTTACTTAACCATTGCCTTAGCTACTGCAGCTCTCACCTTATCAGCCAGCGAACAGCATACTTCAGACCAGTTACAGACCTGACTGTCTTTTCTTGAGAATACGGCTGCGCGAAAATCAATTAGAGCTCTTCCATCTTTGATTACGGCATTAGTATCATCACACAAGTATCGGGGCGTACATTCCATATTATATCCACATGATTTTGCTTTGGAAACAGTCGCTGGCTTGTCGCCACAATTATTTGTGGTACACAGAAGAGCAGCGGGTAGAAAAAAATATAGGGAAAACCGAAAGGCAACAAAAGGATTTCCCATTTCTAAGCAGAGAGCTAACGAAATGATCCGACGTTTGTGAATGGAAATCCAGCACTGAGCAGAGCTTTCAAAATCAGTACCATATATAAATATATATAACTAAATATACGTATATAATTATATGCATATACATATGTGTGCGTATGCGAGTGGCTGATAACAAATGACAGAGTCGTGGCAAAAATGAATTAATAAGGGGGAATCATCATTAACAATATTCCGTTTATCAAAACATCACATAATGAGAATTTTAATTTTTTTATTTTTTGTATCGTCTGAACAGTTTATGTTTGTAATTTCATATTTTTTTAAGGTTAAGTAGATGATTATAATAAAAATGAATTTATTCCAAAAAATCCGAATAAATATATACATGGACTATATGTATATATTTATTTCATTTATCTCTTTAAAATATATTAATAATCGTTTTTATATACATTTTAATATAAATATTTATAAAAGAAAAAAATATATACTTTATATTTAATTTATAATATTTCAACGTAGAGCTGGCAATATTTCCACAACTATATATTATTTGTGATAATAATAAATATGATACTTTTTGCTATTATTATTGTTTTTATTATTATAATTATTATTTTTAAGTAAATAATATTATATTTGTAATTATTATGATTCCTTGTTTATTAATAAATTGGTTACGAAAGCCTTTTTACAAATGATTTAAATAATATTATTGTTATTATTATTATTATAATTATTATTTTGAAAAATCTTGTGAAATATTTTCTACCATCAATATTTTTCTATAAATTATTATGTCAATTAATATTGTTTTATAGGTACTATTCCTAATTTAATAAGAAATAAATTGCGACACTCCCTTTGAAAAAATAAATCCCCGCTTATACAACTTAGTACAAAGAAATAACACATAAAAAAATACGAATAAGCTACTTTCGTGATTAGTCAGTCAGAGGCAGTTGGATTGTTTAGGTCGACGCGTTTGTAATAAAAGAATATAAAATTAAAATTCTGACTCACAGATTCGTTGGCGTTTGGTTTAAAATTAATCAGATTATTGAAAATGCGCAACAAAATAGAGTTGGCCCTGCTGCTGATCATCTGTTGTGCTGCCACATTAAATCAAATCTCGGCTGCTCCCCAGACAGACTCAGGTAAGCCCAGTGATAAACTGAAACCAGACTTTCCGTTGCTCAAATTAATAACAGATTCAACAGCTCAGCTTGGTGGGAATGTGGGAATCACAACCGCAACTTCTACTGAGGCTGGCAGCGTAGATTACGATTTTCTCGATGCACTTTTGAACGAACGTGAGCAGACTCATCCGAGTGTGGACAAACCATTGCCAGGAAAACAGCTTGATGGGAATGAGATAGATTACGATTTTCTTGATACATTTTTTGGCGGACCGTCAAATGAGACTGATCCAGAGTTTGTTGATGTTGCGGCAGCGGATCCAAATGTGTACGAAGCATTGCCAGAGTCACAGGCAGATAAACAAATTAAGGATGGGAAATTGCCAGCACTCGATCTAACTGCAGAGAAAAATCAGTTGATGGCAAATGTGGAAAATATATTTCGACCAACTGCACAGCAAAGAAATCAACTGCTAAGTGCTATCGATAACACATTTCAAAGCATTATAAATCGATTTTCCAAGCACAATAACACAGAGCAAACGACACACCCTGTAGCCGACCCCAATGCCAAATCCTGCGGCCAGCAAAGCGAATGCGTAGAGCTCTGGATGTGCAAAAATAGTACAATCAATAATAATGGAGCCTATAGCATACATCTTCGACCTGCGCACAATGAGCCACAGTGCAGTTACAATCAAGTCTGCTGTCACATAGCTGATAAGGTAAGTTCGTAGGTTAAAGTATTTATACGGAAAACAACAAACAACGGAAAAGGTGTCTCATTACAGATACTGAGTCGCCCCCAAGCCGTACAGCCGAGCAAGATGGCGGATTGCGGTCTACGGCATGAGAATGGCGTACAGCTGACCATAGAGGATCCAAGGCATATTGAGGCCAATTTCGGAGAATTTCCCTGGATGGTGGCCATATTGGTGATGGAGGATCCACTATTAATCTACATAGGCGGCGGCTCCTTACTAGCACCCAATGTGGTGCTAACAGCTGCCCATAAGTTAACCAACAGGACATTGGCCAACTTTATCGTGCGAGCTGGCGAATGGGATCAGCGGACAACACGGGAAATCTTTAATCATCAGGATCGCACTCTTCGGCTAATTATTATGCATCCGCATTTTGATGGTAGCTTCAATAACATTGCATTGCTTCTGCTGCAGGCTCCCTTCGATCCGAGTCCACACATTTCGCCCATTTGCCTGCCCACAGCCAGCGACCGATTCGACCACACTCGGTGCATTGTCACCGGCTGGGGCAAGAGCACCGGCGATACCAATGCCTATCAACATATTCTCAAGGAAGTAACCGTGCCCGTCCTGCCACGAGCCGAGTGCATTACCAAGCTGACTAAAGTATCTGATACAAGCTTAATTTTCGATCCGAGCTACATTTGCGCTGGCGGCGAGAAAGGCATCGACGCCTGCCTTGGCGATGGTGGTGCCCCGCTAGCCTGCCCCATTCCAGGCAGCCCCAATCGCTACTATCAGGCTGGCATTGTGGCATGGGGAATAGGTTGCGGTTTGGAGAATGTGCCCGCTGGCTATACCAATGTGCCATACCTCATGCCCTGGGTTAGTCGGGAGCTGGACAAGCTGAACATCGATAGAAAATACTATACACCCTAGGCAGACGAGTTCTCATCTATATAAATATATATATACATATAAATATTGTTAATTAATGGATTGTATTATATTGCTCTGCTCAGTGCATGGCCTCGAGATATTAAAAATTCAAATAATTGTCTAGATCTCCCATTGCAGACTTAGCCCAGCTAAAATATTATGCATAGAACTTCCATTTTATGAGTTTAGTTTCACCTACACATAAATGTTGCATATAGATTTCTTATAACAAATTTAAAGACGATTAAATTAAATGAATTAACATATTTTCCGCAATAGTTTAAGTGTGAAAATGTACACACAGATCCTCTGAAATGAGTGCGGCCTGAACTGAGAAAAATGCAGCTGACTAGCTCTTACGATGTAATCTGTGCGTCAATCAGTCAGTCAATCAATCAGTCAGTTAGTTATTAAGATGAAATCGTTGTATATGTATATCAAAAATAAATTAAATATAAAAATAAATATATATATATGCTTTTTTCAAAATGTTTTCAACAAATATACTTATATATATATATATTTGTTTTCTTATCTGCAAGCGTCGACGTCATTGCTGATATTTGATTTTCAGTATGCATAAGTGTGTGTAAATATATGTTGAGTACAATTGGAAGCTGTCTTCAGTATAACTTGAACTGAGAAATAGTCAATAACATAGAAATTCTGCGTAATATTTCAGTGTCTTTTCATTCAAGTGGTATGATGATAAATAAGAATTGTGTATTATAATTTATTAATAATATTTAATTGAATGCTGAATCAGCAACAACTGATCAGTTAGTCATTATACTCGACATGCTGCTTTCAAGAGCTTGGTTATGTTGTTTTTTGTCGTGCATCTGCCTGCTGGAAGCCCACGGACAAGAAGATGAACATTTTAACCAAATGCAGGGCAATGGTGTTAATGATGCAACAGGAAATATGATTAGTTCGACGGAAACGACAACTGAAGTAAATGAAGATGATATGAAGAGACAAGAAGATTCCTTTGAAAATCTTGTTAATAATAATAATGCAATAGATAATATTAATAGTTCGACGAAATCGAAAGCAGAAGTTACAACTGAAGATAATATGAAGAGACAAGATAATAATAATATTACGACGCCATTACAATTATATAAAGAAGCCTTGAAAGGGGAAATCTTCAATATAACACACAAATATATCAATATTTCAATTAGCAAGAAAGTCAATACAAAAATCGACGAAACTTTTGAGCTAATCGAAAGAACTTTGTTGGCTCAAGCGAAAACAACAACACCTGCAACAACTACAACTACAACAACAACTCCAAGACCAATACCTAAATGTGGTGAAAATATGACAATTCGGAGCGTCAAGCGTTGGAATTGCATAACTCAATCAAAACAGGAAGAGAAATATATCATAAATCTAAATGAAGAAGAAGACAACAAGTTACATTATCTGGAGATCTGCTGTAGCGATTCGGACATTGTAAGTTCTGAAATTCTAGGCTTACATTTAAGCCTTTTTTTAATCTCTATATATAAAACTGTTTGTCCTGACTGACTGACTGACTGACTGACTGACTGACTGACTGACTGACTGATTGGTGATCAAACCGTAAGAGCTAGGAAGCTGAAATTTTCACTGTAGCTACCTTATGTGATGTAGGTGCACGTTAAGACGGGGTTTCGGGAAATTCCACTCGCAAGTGTGGAAAAATCGCGAAAAACGTTTGTATGTAACTTTTTTGTTTACCATCGGATTGGCCTCAAACTTATTTTCAAAGATCTTTGTTCAAATTCATTTGAGGGGTGTTTCACACTTTTAGGAAAATACATTCCTCCTTGGTGGAAATGGAGGTCAAAGATTTGATGGGTGACGTTTCGCGCTCAAATTCATTTCCAGTGATCTATATGAAAAATCATTTGAGACGTGTTTCTCACTTTTCGCAGAATTCAAACTTCTTCGGGGGGAATGCGATTTAAAGATTTATTGGGCGAAGTTTTAAGTTGTGTCCGATTTGCTTCAAACTTATTTTTAAAGCTCTTTATAAGAACTTAATAAGTACGTATTTCAGCGATTTGGAAAATTCCACCCGCAACAGTGGTAAATTGGCGGAAAACGGTTGTATGAAAGTTTTTTGTTTACCATCCGATCGGCCCCAAGTTCATATTTAAAGATCTATTTTTAAATTCATTAAAGGGGTGTTTCACACTTTTTGAAAAATGCATTCCTCCTTGGTGGAAATAGAGGTCAAAGATTTGGTGGGTGACGTTTCGCACTCAAATTCATTTCCAAAAATGTATTAGAAAAATCATTTGATACGTGTTTCACACTTTTCGCAGAATTCAATCTTCTTCGGGGGGAATGCGATTTAAATATTTTTTGGGCGAAGTTTTAAGTTGTGTCCGATTTGCTTCAAACTTATTTTCAAAGCTCTACATAAGAACTTAATAAATACGTATTTCAGCGATTTGGGAAATTCCACCCGCAACAGTGGTAAATTGGCGGAAAACGGGTGTATGAAAGTTTTTTGTTTACCATCCGATCGGCCCCCAAACTTATTTTCAAAGATCTTTGTTCAAATTCATTTAAGGGGTGTTTCACACTTTTCGAAAAATCCGGTCCTCCTTGGTGCAAATGGGGGTCGAAGATTTGGTGGATGACGTTTTGTGTTCAAATTTATTTCCAAAGATCTATACGAAAAATCATTTGAGACGTGTTTCACACTTTTTGCAAAATCTAAACTCCTTCGGTGGAAAATGCATTTCAAAGATTTTTTTGGTGAATTTTAAGAGTGTTCCGATTTGCATAAAAGTTGCTTTTTTGATTTTATAACATACGTGCCACGGGCAAGGCCGGGTTATACCCGCTAGTTACTTATAAACGCACTTAATGCTATAAATCATATTAAATTTTCCATATGAACTCAACATTTTTAGTTTAAAATTAAAAATGAATGATTTGAGCGCTTTAATCACAAGTTTCAATGCTCTCTCGCCCTCTCTTTCCGACTGTTACTCTTTCTCTCTCTTCCTCACACACACATAAGCACTGATTCGAATCAGATTAAATTTCTTCAGCACTGAACGTTGAAAATGAATTAATTAAAAATAATTATATTTGCGTTGCGAGCACAAATTTAATAAAAATCAATATACTATTTTATTTAATTTAATCATTTTGTGCTATAATATTTTGATTTAATGCATAGATATAAAATTTTATACATGTTGTATTGTATCTCTCTCTCTCTCTCTCTCTCTCTCTCTCTCTTTTGCTCTCCCCTTATCTCTCTCATAAAAGCGAAATGTAACACTTCCGAGCCATTCAGTCGAAAAAGATCCGCGTTGCGGCTTAACTAACCCAAAAGGCGTCTACTTCACCATCGAGGGCAACGTTCGGGGTGAGGCGAACTTTGGAGAATATCCCTGGATAGTGGGCATATTCACCAATTTGAGTAAGTATCGTGTTGGTGGCTCACTAATTGCTCCACGAGTGGTGCTGAGCACCGCCAACTTGTTGAACAATGTCGAAGGCTTTAAGGTCAGAGCTGGTGAATGGGATATGGCAACGGAGAATGAGATACTGCCGTATCAGGAGCGCTCGGCAGCAATCGTACCCAATCCGAACTACTCTTTGGAGGCATTCATTAATAATATCGCTCTGCTTATACTGAATGCCACCTTCAGTCCTGTGGTACACATCAGGCCCATCTGTTTGCCCGAAGGCGGAATCTTTGATTACAAGAATTGCATTGTCGCCGGCTGGAATCGATATTCAAGTAATGGACGTTCGATTGTGGCCAGCATGAGATTTAGTGTGACCAAATGCGCCGATGGCACACACGATAGTTTCCTATGCGTGACGGGTAACTCGCGCCATCTCAAATACTCAATCGGTTCGGCGCTGGCTTGTCCCAAAGTAAATGAGAGTCCCAATCGTTTCTATCAAATAGGCACCTGGAGCCATGGACGGACAACCGATAGCAAGTTTACCAATGTGGAGAAATTTTCGGCTTGGATTCATAATGAAATTGATAAAGTCAATTAAATTGCTTCAAAATATGTTCAAAATATAATATATATATGATCTGGCTTCATTTCCCCTTGCTTTTGGCGTAGAAATTAAAAAAATTGAAATAGTTTTCAAATTATACGAACATGAAGAATATACGATAAACCATAGACCAAATAAATAGCCACAGGTATTTTATGTAAAGAATTTTCCAAAATAGAAAAACTAGGCTGAAAATCTTTCCTGTTTTAATTTGAATAAACGGGTAGACTTAATAATAGTATTAAATGTGAAATGTGTTTATTTTATACAGTCAAATGTGACTTGAATAAATCCGTAAAACCCTTTTTAAACATTGCCAATGACTACAGGATATAAAATAAGTTTAGTGCAACGATAAAAACAAACCTAACAAGCTGCAAAGTTCGCTGAATATTTGTTACCCACATATAAAACTTGGGCATTGATACTCATCGATAATACCTTGTTTTTATGAGCCGGACAAATTTGAAGCTACCTGATATATTTTTTAATATTCTTATAATTTATTAAGTTATATTCGCTCGACATTCTTAAAGTTCAAGAGTACAGAAAATAGAACTTACCCAACATTTTTCACGCATCACATTAGTTCGTTTACAGAAACTTTAAGGACTTGGCCATAAGCAGTTGTTGCTTCCTATTCGGCTGCCCGTTTTTATCAACAACCGCATGTGGTGAAATTAACGCCGCAACCGTAACGCATTACGGGTTCCGCCTGCCGCACTGATACTCAGCGCCAGTTGAGAACGGCTGGCTGCCACATAAATGTGGCAAGTGTGGCACACTCGCCCGCCCGCTGACGCGCCTGAGCGGCCTCGCTGGGCGAGCTCGGGCACTTCAATTTTTATTCCTTTTAACATTGCCGGCAGCCTCAAATGTTTATACATTAGCAACATTTGTCGGCTTCCTTTACGCTCATCGTAGTCGCAGTCGACGGCGTCGCAGGTGCTGATTATTTTGCAAATTATTGGTAAAACATTGCAATGCTACGCCCAGGCGATGCCACGCCCATGCACTGCATGTGTGCCATTAAAATTGATTGCATACTTTGCGGCGCGCCAAATGTGCCTCTCGTCTGTGGCATGTGGACAGTAGCAGAAAGCAACTTGCGATCTGCGCTAGGTCAATCTTTTTTTTGGATCCAAATCAGTCGTTTTTCTGGAGGGTTTTCATTGCTGAAAAGAATTGTTGTAACATGAATTAATTTCATTTATTGGAAGCGAATACTTGACGGACTTTTCTTGAAATTCAAAACCAGGATGTTATGATCCAGACATAAGCTTTTCAAAAAAAAATGCAATAATGCTATTTTACGAGGATATCTTTGAAACTCGAGACACGAAACGTGGCCATATCGACCATATATATAATATATACATATATACTAGCGAGTATACCCCGTCTTTGCCCGTGGAAAATGAGCTTGAAACCGATCGGAAGGGTAAAAAACTTTCATACAACCATTTTTTCCTAATTAACCACTGTTGCGGGTGAAATTTCCCAAATCGCTGAAGCAAGTATTCAATTCTACAGATTTTTATTGTGGCAACAGTAAAGGTTGATTGGGTCGTGCTCCCGTCTTGCTCAACTATACACGAACACGCACGAGCAGCACTCTCCGACGTGAAGCGAAACGTGTCGAGTCGTGCGTGTTCGTGACACGACACATGCCTAACTCTTACAGTGTCACAAATAAGCCAAACGGGGAATGCTAATCAAAAACAATGAAGCTCATCAAATTTAGTTATTTGACAATGGCATGTAACTTGATACTGTTCGATTAATTTTGCGGCATTGGCAAGAAAACTTTCCAGATTCTCGGGATTGCGGAAAACATCATTGTTTATCGTTAGCAATTGACCATCCCAAATGTTCCATTTGCGCATGCTCTCGATAACATCGCCGCAAAAGTCAGACTGCACTTTGTCTCTGGCCGCCAAGATTTTCTCCACTCGCTTGCGAAATTTACCTACAGAGTGCGAGTACGAGCGAGACAGAAAAAGTGGATAATAAGGGGAAGAAGAAAGAGAGAGGTAAGAGACTTGGACTTATTGCAAACAGAGTTGGGCGCTTTTCGTGTCCGTTTCAATTGTGTCCGTTTCCGTTGTGTTTCAATTGTGTAACGTGTGGTGTCCGAGGCGCGCCCATCTCTAGTTAGAGCTGTTAAACTACTCACGGTCAGCGACACTTCTTTGCAACTTATTCAAATTTGGATCAACTTGACCTTTTTCATATTCAGCAATTATCTGGTACATGCGACGATCCATGTCCTTGGTTGTAAAGACGGCCTCCTCGCAGGCCGGTTTGCACAAGCTATTGAAATTGGGACCCGAATAGGGCACCTTCGTGTGGTATTTGTTTTGTATAAACTGTTCCCGATAGAATCTGCTCGAAGAGGCCTTACGCGCATGATGGTAGGCAACGTGATCGTTGTGAAAGCGATAGGTCATGCTGGTCAGCAGCTTCTCCACCTTCGACAGGCAGCTGTGGATGTGAAGGGATGCATGTGAAGGAGCATGCAACACTCTAGACTCTCTCCAATAGAACTCACTGTGAATTGCGCAGCGAGTAGACGCCCGGTATGGAATAGGTGCGCAGCAGATGATGCAGCTTGTAGGCCAGACAGCTGAGCAGCTCCTCGGCGGCACAGTGTTGCATGCGCCGTAGACTGTTCATATCGTGCACCGTCTGGCGTACATGCCAGCCGCGGAACAGGGACTGGATTTTGGTCGCCGCCTCATTATATCTGTCGACCAGTATCTGCTGCAGCCGCGCCTCGATCGACGACTTGAAATTGCGACGCACGCTAAAGCCGCGCCACCAGCGCTGAATAGTGATCGCCGCCTGCTCGCGCCTATTGGCCATTTTGCGTACGGCAAAGCCCCGCCAGAGAGTCTGTATGCGCCGTGCGGCCAGAAATTGTTTGTAATCAAGCAACAGCAGCGAGGTGCTACCGGTGTACGTAAATCAGATTTAATATTTTTCTTAATATTATTAATATTATTATTAATATTTGCATATTTTATATTTCATTTTATTTTATTTACATACTTCATATATAATATTTTTATTTTTGTATGTACATCACAAGTATATTTATAGTCTAAGACTGTTATGTATTTTTTTTAAAATAATATTTAAACATTTTCATATTTTTTATTTTTATTTATATATATATATATATTATCACAATTATTATATCATAAACGAACCTTTTTTTATTATTTTATAATATTTGTTTTCTTTCTAGCTTTATTTATTATATTTATTGTATTTATATATTTCATGTTTTTTTTTTAATCATATTATTTTGTTTTTATTTTATATTTAAAATATTTTATATTAGTATGTATTTCATCTTTTATATTTTTAATGTTGTATGTAGATCACAATTATTTTAAGTATTTTCATATTTTATTTTAATATTTTATATTATATTTTCAAATTTTAAATTTTTAATTTATTATTTTTTATTTCATTTATTATTATTTTTACTTTAATATTTAACACTTTATTTATATATTTTTTTCATTTAATTACTTATTATTATTGAGAACTATGTTAATTGTATATTTTATGTTTTTTATTTATATATTCTTTTTATAAATGTATATTATATTTAATATTTTATATACTTTTTTGTTTGTGCATCAAAACTATTATAGTTACATATATTAATTTTTTTTATTTTATATTTTTATTTTTAATTGTTATATTTTGTTATTTTGATGTTTATAAATAATATTTACTTTTGTTAATTAGTTAATTATTTGATTTTTGGGAACTACGCACCGCGAGAAACTTTGATGCAGCGAGTCGCTGGGAGTGGAGACAATGTGTTCCTCGCCGTCTGAACTTTTGTTGATGAATTGTTATCGCTTTTGTTATCGATATATTGTTAAGCACTTACTCAATAGCGTAGTCTAAGACCGATGATGTCAAAACATTGGAAAAGTTAAAGTTTATCATTTTCTGTACGTTTTCTTTAGATTTTTTATTTTTTTTGTTCTTAGAATGCGTTTTTTTATGTTTGTTTGTGTAACTGTGTGTGAACATATTTTCAATGAAGCAACAATTAAATTGAAACTAAAATGCGCAGCCTTCTGATGCGTAGATATTATTAATATTAAGTTTGGTCACACTGTTTGTGCTTTTATGGTACAGTTTTTATTAGAGATGAGCGCAAGGCTGAAGAGCATATTTGTACGGAACCAATGCTAATCAGAGTTCCAATATAATTTAAATCTAAAGAAAAATACCGTATTCGAAGCATATAAAAAAAATGGTAATGAGTTTACAAAGCAAGCATAGAACATAAGCATATATTGTGTAACCTTGGGTATTAATAATATAAAAAATATAAATGTTAACAATTTAAATTTCAATTGAAAGAGCTCGGAACTAAAACCAGTCCCTTATATGCCTTAAAGCTCTCGCTGTGCAGGAGATCACATCTGTTCTCTGCACTGTTAGTTACATTTGTAAAGCTGTTATTTAATCTCTTATGTGAACTTAACAGAGTCACCGAATGTTATATTGATAAGCAATGTTAACAACGTTTTGCCAGGCTGCTCAAAGTGCATAATTGGAAAATAATCATAGCAAATTTCCGATCAGTATTTAGGGGCCGTACTGTTCCACCAAGCTGCCTTATCGTGCATATTGTTGTGCTCTTTCGGTACATTGACAATAATTTCAAAATTGATGATGTGCACATAATAAAGTGTCAAATATCAACACACATCAGAGCATTGCGCGACGTGCAGCATCATCATCAGCAGCAGCAGCAGCAGCAGCAGCAGCATCAGCATCAGCGAAATGGACTGGTGCCGGGGTCGGGTGAGGATAGAGGGGGCTAGAGGGGGCAGTCAAAGCTAACAGTGTGCGGGTTGCGGGGTAATGGCTATGAAGACAGCTTCAACTGCGACAAGCAGCAGGAATAAATAAACCAAACGTGCACTGTACCCAAATAAAAATAAAATAAGAACGCTCTAGGTGAGAGTGCACAGCTAGGAGATACCCTATTAAAAAATGATTCTTAAATAAAATATCCGATCTGTAACATTATCGTTAAATATTTTTGGTGGAAAGAGGGTGAGGTATCAAGAAAATGTCATATTCAATAATGTGTGAATCCAAACTAACAGTTTAGTGTGCCCAGCTCTAATATACCATGATATTTGCGCTCCAACTCGATATTTATCGATATTGCAGAAATAAAGTTGCTCCGCTCTGATATCGGATATCGACAGATTCTTACAGATAGACGGAATCAAGAACTATTCTACCCCTGCTTTTTTCTCTATTTTCAATGGCTGCGGGGTATAAGAAGTAGAATTGGTGAAAGAAAACAAGTTCCAATCTTGGAGATACCCTAATATTGAGATATTGAGAAAATTAAATATTCTTGATCTTGTGTGCTATGCGAGAACCCAAACTGCCAGTTTAGTCTACCGAAGTCTTGCCAAGATATTTGCTTATAAACATACGCTACAAATCGATATTTATCGATATTGTAGAAATAAGCTTGATTCGCTCTGACGGCATCGAGAATTATTATGCCCAAGACTCTCTCTCCACTTCCAATCGGTACAGGGTATAAGAAGTAGCATTGCTGAAAGCAAAAAACGACTGAGAAAAAAAACAGCGAAAAGAAATTGACAAAATTGATTGAGCGCACGAAACAGCACACGTTGGCAGCAAGGTAGGCGGGGCATGGCCAGGGGCAAGGGAGGCTGGATGTCAACATTGAAAAGTTAACGCTTGTCATACGGCCAAGCACCTTGAGTAACTGCTGGCGTCCCCTCTGTTTGTTGGCGTGCATTTTGATCAGACAATTTTTCACCTTTAAACAATTTGGCCCTCAAGTCGACTGTCGTTAGAATTATTTATATTTTTTTTTTATTGTTTTCCTTCCCCCCATTTGACATGCCATTTAATCTATTTTTGCCAAAGCTGTTTGCATACTTTCAGCCTGCAACGTTGTGGCTGGCTTAACTGCAAATATGTTGCACAGAATATCCATAATCTAATCTTCAAAATACGAAGATATAAGGAGTCAATAGATATGTATGTATGTGTGTATAAATCGGCATAAATAAATAGCTTTAAGCAAAAGTCGGATATTTCTAGGCATTTAACTTGATTTGCATAGCATCAACTACTAAAAGTGGGATTCAAATAAATATTATTTATTTTTATATATTAATTGGTTTTATTACTTTTGCACAAAGAAATTTGGTTTACAAAAAATCCAGAAAGAAAAGAAATTAAAATCTAGACCCAGAACAATTTTTTTAAATCCTCAAAATCCCACACTTGTAAATTGGTTATTAAGGTTATAGGAAATTTTTTTGAAAATCTAGAAAGAAATGTTCTTTGCGACATATTTCCTTCACTTACCAACATCCTGATTGGCAAAGGTTACAGGTTACAGATGCAGAAGGTGGCCCTAAATTCATTTCCAAAGCTCGAAATAAAATATTAACGTGTACATGTTTCACGAATTTCGTCAAATGAAGCGCACAGGCGGAAAATGGATGGAAAACTGATTTAAAATTTAAAGCCAAATAAAACCAATAAGTCGCTTACTTGTATATAACGCTACCCGGCGTTGCATAGTCGGCCAGCTACGCCTGGAGTATGCGTTATAAATAAGAGTTGGCAACATGTGCATTTGACTGATTGCTAATTAACGCTCATTTATTTTTGCCTTTGTTTGCCAGAAGCTTTGTTCCTGCTACCGTTTGCTGCTCGAGCCGCATCAGTCGCACCTGTCTTTCTGGCTGGCAAGGCGCATTTTTCTTCTGAGGAATTTTCCCTTTGTTTTGCGCTGGCATTTAATTTATTTTTGGCCCTGGCCAAGAAAACAGCCGAACCCAACGACATCGCACATGAGTAATTTTTGAGCCGAAATTTTGGCCTCGACGCGCCAAATCCTGGCATCCTACCTATAAATACTTGACATGGCTACAGTAGCTACCGTCTCTGCACGTGGCAACCAAACAACAACAGAAAGGTAAGCACACACTGAGCGCAGAGTATGCTCACGCCAAGTACAAATACCGTCATAATCTACTTTCTTCAAGCATACTTTTTTCGCCCAAAAATTCATAAGCACAAGACTCAAATGCTGAACAAAACGTAAATAAAAACGTATGAGAACTTCTTCAACTTATTTCAAGTGTTTCGTGCTCAAATTCAAATTTCAAGCATCTAGTATTTTGTACTTCAATCAAGTACAAATGTTCTTTTAATCAACCTGAACTTTTTCTTCCAGAAGATGGTTAAAGCGTAGAAAAATGCAAAACAAATCGAAAATAAAACTACAATTTTTAGGCCTATTATTTCATGGAAGCAATTTCTTGTTTTAAGTACTTTATACTTAAATCAAGTACAAATATTCTTAAAGACAATTACAGTTATTTTTTTATGATTTTGAAGTCAAAAGAATTGGTAAGCACAAAAATCAAATGCAAAAGCAAACAAAGTAAATGAAACTTGTGCGCTTATTTTGAGTCTTTAAATTCTTACTAGAAGTATTTTTTACTTAAAATAAGTCTACACACTTTCTCAACATTTTTTACTTTTTACTCCTGTTTCGTGCGTTAAATTTTCTTTATAAGTATTTTGTACCTAATTCGGTGAATTTCGAAATTAACTATGCATTTCAGATTGTTAGAAAAAATATTCCATAAGAAAATGTACTTAAAATGTATATTGTAATTTCGTACCTGGCTTTTCTCTGAGTGCCTCTATTTTGGTTGCCCTGCGTAGCATACGTGCAGGCGCATCGCCCGCATGCCTCGAGCTCTTGAGCTCTCGGAGCAAATGACATTTAGCATGTGGCTGTTTTTGGACCAAAGGAGAACTCCCCGTTGCCAATCTACGTGACTACTGCGTGGGTCGTCTTACCAAATTAGATTTAGCCTCCTGCACCCAAACGCCCTCCCACTGGCAAGCCGAAGCCAGGCCCATGCCTACACCCGACCATAATTAATATGCACGATATGTGGCGTTAAGTTGTGTGAAAATTACTTGTGCGTTGACGTGACGCTGCGCAGCTCTTGGAAAAACCACGGCAAGCCATTTGCCAGCCCAGTTCGCAGCCCATCTCCTCTTCTTGTCGCTGGATAATTGTTATTCGATTACGAATTTTATCTAAGTATTCAGTAATTAGTTGTTGATCATCAGAGCAGGCGTTCAAGTTAGACAAATTAATCAGCATGATATATGTATATTAAGCTTCGGATAATAAATAATTGAGCTATTAAAATCAATTGTTTAATTAAGCAGAGCTTGGCTGTTCTATTTGTTAGTCAACAGATATATAAAATTCTGAAAATAATTTAAAAAGTTCTTAACGAGTTCTTCTTCTAAAAATGTAACCCGGAAAGCCCAAAGAAAATTGTAGTTTAATCAATATAAATTGGAAAGTTATCATTTTCTTTTCCCTCCTCTCGCAACATTTATAAGTACCCCCTACAATATTTCGCAGCACTCCAGCTAGTAGAACGCCGGATCGCTCACCAAGTACAGGGTATACAAGAAATCATAAGATCATTGACCTAGTTAAATAGATCTACAATTGAGTTAGTACACATGCGAACAGTGTGCGCCACGCGAAGAATTCAGTTTATATGAAAAGTGACAAACGGCGCACACTTCATATAAATATTTATGCCACAAAGGCATTGAGTACAGAACGCACCTAACAAAATCCAGGCAAGAGTACAAAACTCGGGACTAACCGATTTGTAGATGCTCTGTTCACAGATCTGAAGCACAAACGAAACTTTAAATGCATATAAGAAGCAAACAAAGGCTGAAAAGCAAACAATCAATTGCTGGGAGCCAGTTTTAAAGAAAATAAACGGGTCGCCTCGGGTCTTAAAAAAAATAGTTGGAATTCCGACTTTGAACCAGTTCGGCTCAAAAGTGCGCCATTCAAGGCAACAGCTCTACTTCTTCTACCTCAAGCTTCATGATTTCAAAAAATTGATTCTAAAATAACATTTGTTTTTCTCAATCGATTTTCATATGGCTTTTTGCCTTTTAAAATGGCATTAAAATATGTGCATATACCAACAATCGGGGGCATATATTTTAACATTAATATTTTAATGACACTTGTGTTTATTACTTAATTTTTATATAATTTTTCTCAGCGCCCAAAATGATCTTTAAAATATGTGCATCAAGCGAACATAATATAAAATAACTTTATTATTATTTTTTGTATTTATAATTTGATTGTCGTGTAGTTCTTAGTCTGTGCATAAACCAAAAATCAGAGATATATATTTATTTATATGTTATTCTTAAGTACTTTGATTATCCCATTGTTAACACATTTAAAAGGGGCTCAAATTTTAGGCATATAACCAAAATTGGTATATGTATAATTTGATTCCTAATATTTATCTTGTGCTTAAAATTCGATTGTGCGGCAACATACAAAACAATTATTGGATCTGTATACTTATTAAGTGCTAGCCTAACAAATGAACCGATTTGCTATATAAATCGACGATCAATATGCGCACTTTTGAGCATTTTGAATAGAAACAGGGTATGTACTTGTGAGAAACAAAGAATTTTAATGCTCACCAACTGGAGGAAAGAACTGTTTGTCTATTTGTTTATGTGATTGAAAACAGTTTTCCAATTTATAAATAGCTATTGGAAATTGTACAAAATCGGCGTGTAAATTCAGTGCGCATTTGTGTATAGAACGAAGCAGTTCGTCTGTGATTGGGATAGCCAAAGGTTAATTAATTTTCTTGTGGGCGTGGCAATGCAACTACTGCAACTATTGCAACTGCTGTTGCTGCTGCAATCTTTTGGCTGGCTGCAAGGTACTTGATCATTTTGAGGCACTGTTTGCTGAGCATACATAAAACAAGTTTCTTTGACGACAGCGCGTCGTGGGCTCGGCGCCGGCGAACAGGACTGGGGCTATGTGGAGGTGCGCAAGGGCGCCCACCTGTTCTACTGGCTGCACTATACGACGGCTAATGTAAGCGCATATACGGCCCGGCCGCTGATCATTTGGCTGCAGGGCGGGCCTGGTATCGCCTCCACAGGCTGCGGCTGCTTCGAGCAGCTGGGCCCCATCGATATCGAGGGTAAGCCGCGGCCCAGCAACTGGGTGCAGCATATGAATGTCCTGTTCATAGACAGTCCCGTGGGCACCGGCTTTAGCTATGTGGAGCCGCCGCACGGTCGCTATGCGGAGCATAACAATCAAATAGCACGCGATCTGGTCACACTTATGCGCACATTCTTGCGCCGTCATGCGGAATTTGAGCGCGTGCCGCTGCACATCTTCTCGGAGAGCTATGGCGGCAAAATGGCGCCAGAATTTGCACTCGAGCTGCAGCTGGCCAAGCAGCGCGGCGATTTGGAGTGCCAGCTGCAATCGGTGGTCGTGGGCAATCCATGGACCTCGCCGCTGGACAGCACCCTTTCCTATGCACCCTACTTGCTGCAGCTGGGCATTGTGGATCACGACGGCTATCGGAATATATCCAGGGTGGCCGCCGAGATAGCGCAGCTTGTGTATGCGGGCAAGTGGTTGCAGGCCATGGATCAGAGCATTCAAGAGGTCATCGAGACGCACACCGGCGGCGTGTTTCTCTACAATACGCAGCGGCGCGTTCATGTAAATGATGTCTATCGCTATGGCGAGGATCCCAAGCTGCGTGAATTTATGGTCAATAATGTGACACAGGCGCTAAATCTGACCCACATGCCCGAGTGGATGGTACAGAATGCGACGGTCTTTATCAAGCTGGGCCGCGACATCTTTAAGCCAGCCGTGCACATAGGTAATAGAAGGGAGCAAAATTCATGAGGGGCGCCGAACATTCAATACCCTTGCAGACATGTAACAGATAGAAAGTGAAGCTCGTAATTGTGGAACTGGAACTGTTGTCAAACAAAAATCTTTTCATACAAAATCTCTCTTTTAGACCGATATAGATATAGACAGAAATGCAAACTATAATATTTGACCGATTATTCCTATGACAGATATATGATATAGTGACCGATTTTGACAGATGCACAGACTACAACAGAAAAACGGACCTGAGACAGATTTCAAGCTGAGAGTTAAGTTTGCAAGTAAACGGGAAAGCAGAGGACTGAACCTGTTGATACATGTCGATCAAGAATATATATATATATATATTTGGAACCTAAATAATCTGCTGCTTCTTGAACTAATCTCAAATGCTTTACAGTTACCCGCCTGCTGAATGAGACGCCGCTGCGCGTGGGCGTCTACTCGGGCATGCTGGATCTGCTGTGTGCCACGCCCGGCACCGTCAACTGGATCAATCGGATGCAGTGGAGGCGCAAGGATCAATATGTGGGTGCATCACGTCGGCCTGTGCGCATCAACGGCATGCTGGAGGGCTATGAGAAGCAGGGCGGCGGATTTAGCATGTTCTGGGTCTATCGAGCGGGGCATCTGGTCCAGGTGGATAATCCGGCGGCCATGTCTCATATTCTGCGTGAATTTACCGGCTTTGGATAATGTTTTGCATCTGTGTCCGTCTGTGTATCTCTTGGCAATAAAGATTAAGCTACACTCAGAGAAAAAAAGGCTGTTACAAGGTCTAGTGTATTTTTGGTCCTAGGGGAAAATTCTTAAATTCAGCTGTGCCTGACTTGAGAATTGTGCGTAATATACCAAAAGGTAAGACACAGAGCTTGATTTGAGTGTAAAATAAGCGTGAAATGTTCTCTGTGAAAGTACAAGATTTCCCAGTGTGAGTTTTGTGTTTGAAGTCTTGAAATGTTTGGAAAATGTTCTTTAAGGAAGAATTTTACTCGCAGATAAAGAAATTCCACTCTAGGCTGACAATATTTGTACTTAATTTGAGTACAAAATTCTTGGTTTTATCTTCGTGTGCGAAAACAGTTCTTAAATGATTTTATTCTGGCTAGCAACTTGAATCAATGGCGAAGGGTCCAGTAGCTAGCGTCTAGACCAAAATGTAGCAAACAATCTTTTAACAATTTACTCGAAATTAACTCAAATTCATGTTCTGTGCTTGTGCTGGCTGCTTACAATGCGGTCTACCTCAGAGCCCACAGACAGACGTTGGGGTAAAACCCCTGACGACTTCCTTTCCGCAACCCATGCCTATTGCTGTAACGTTTTACAGGTGCACCGCATCAATTTATTTTCCACACAAAAGCCTATTAAAAGTCGCACGCACACACAGACACACACTGGGGCACTTTTGATGGGCTGGCAGTGGGAGGCAGCTCGGGGGGCTAACTAAATGTTTGCCAAATGGAAACACTTAACCTTTTTTCAGCTTCAGCTTCTTCTTCTTCTTTTGCTTTTCCCTTTTTTTCTGCTGTGAGAAAAATGGGAAAAAGTTGTGGTTGAGTGGAAAAGCTGCTGCTGCGTTGTGTCTCGAACCGCAGCAAAACAAATTAATTAAAAACTTAGAAGTTTTTCTGCAGCCGAGCAAGAAATGAGTGCGAATCGGTTGGGGGAATGAATGGAGTGCAGAGAGGTAGAGAAAGAGTAATTCGTAAATTCTTATTGTTTGTCAATTTTGATTCGTCAAAATTTGAAGTGACAATTGATTATGATGGGAAAAAATGGTTGATGTTCCCCTAATATGGTTTTAAATTGGGCTAAAAACTGAAAAAGAGTTTCTTAAATTAATTTCAAATGTTTTATTAAATCTATAATTTGTAATAGTTGGATATAGTTGTTAGAGAGTGAAAATGTCTAGTTATGTGAAAATTAATTCATTGACAGCATAAGGAATTTGAAGAATTTGTAAAACAAATGAGAATTCACGAATTATCCAAAGGTAAGTCGCAGCCAAATGGAAAATATGTATTAAGTATATTATTCATGTGTTTCTATATATTTGTATATGTTAGGTATTTAAATATATGGGACATCTGTTTATTTTCTGCTACTTTTTTTGAAAAAAAGGTTCAGGTTATTAAGCACGCTTTTTTCTTTTAAAAGTTAAGTCTATAGGTCATAGTTTCTTTAAGCAGTATAAAAGAATATCTCACGTTAAGGAATTAAACAAGAGCTTTATCATGCCAAAATTTATAAAATTTATTTACATGTTAGTAAAGGTTATTTAGGGTCAGACAAAGTTTACTCAAGAAGTGTTAAGTGCTGTCAACAATGATGTTCTGAAGTTGAAGAACCTGAACCGGAAGCTGAACCAAATTTATTTTTTACCAAGACATGTAATGTACGCTTAAGGCAACAGAGAAGAGAAGGCAACAAAGAGATTTTCATATTAAGTGACGATCGGCCATATTTACGAGCAGCAAGAGTCTTTTCTAAAACCTTTTGTGGACGCCCTACTACGAGCAAAGAACTTTTTAAACCTTTTGTCTTGTGAAAAGCCAGCAGAAGGGAAGCCTTTAAGCTGTAGGCTACTGAATGCTGATTGTTCAAGTTAAATTTCTTCATTGCAGCTGGAAAGTATAGACGTTTTTCAGAACTTTCTCCAAGCCAACGCAATAGCATAAAAGCCGAAAAAAACTTTGGTTATTTTGTAACCCTTGTTTGAATGTGTTTTCTTATTTTGTTCATATTTTCTTGAAAAGCAATTAACAAATGTTTTTCAAGCAAGGTAAAATCAAGAAGCCAAGCTGACTTTTCTGGTTTCTCACTGCCCTCCCCTACCCCTTCTACACACCGCCAACCCCACAAGTTTTGGTCGACTCGTATTTGAATGTTTTTGACAACGCGAAGGAGTTGCCAGTGCAGTTTTAATGAGGGCGCCACCTGGCGGCGGCAACATTGACGCCTGTTGACAGTGGCTGCTGCCAAGCAACCGCAACCCCGCAAGGGAGGGGCAGGGCAGGAAAATCAATTTGCACGCACACACACACAGCTGACGCTGGCACCGTTGGACAAAACCGAAATTGCCAGTTGAATGCGTTTTCGATTGTCCATTAGCAGCATCCAACTGCAGCTCCAGATTCAGCTGCTGCTCCTGCTCCTCTTCCGACTCCAGCGCCAGTTCCAGCTACAGCTGCCGCTTTCTGAGTATCATGGCATCATCTCATCCCCATTTTTTGTGGCTGCCTCGTGCCAAAAGTCATTTTCGAGCAATTGGCTGGGTTCGCTGACTGCCAAAGCAAAGCCAAGAGATAAAGCGTCAGAGAGGCAGGGAAAGTGGGCGTGTGTGTATGCTGGACGTAGCTGGAGGGCGGGGGGTGCTGTGCATTCACATGCACAATAAATTTGCAACAGTGCAATGGGCAGCGACCACGCCCCGCTTGCAGATGCTTAGCAAGACGAGGCCCATACGCCCCCGCACACACCCACACACACATCTGATTCACATTCAGATCGGCAGCAATGCAGTCGAGTGCGAAATTGCAAACAGCAACAACAAAGCGACGCGCTGAAAAGTATGCAATGACACAGCGACAACCCCCACACAGACATTATATACACCAAGGGACACCTAAATAGGACAAGTTGGAAATAAAATTTGAGAAAATGACAGTTTGCGATAGACAAAAATCGAAGTACAAATCTTGGCTGTAGACATACTTGCAATATAAATATTAGGCTGGTCTATTCTTGTTTTATATAAGTTTCGAATAAATTGATATATTTGTATGATATATCATACATATATTAAGTGGAAAAAATAATATTTATGATCTTCAAAATGCATATGAATATACTAATATTATTATAGCTATTAATATTATTATCAATTTTGTTTTTATTATTATTATTATTAATAACATAATTATTATTATCAATATTTTGTAATCTATTCAAATAATATTTATTTTATTATTATAAATATTTATATTGGTAGAATATATTACTATTAAACTAACACTTGAAACAACTTATATTTTTAAAGACCTTGTCAAATCAACGTTTGAGTCAACCCAACTCTTTTTTTAGATAATAATTCACACAAATAATAATATCATTTTAAAATTCATTCTTTTTTGTCTAATGCGAAATTGTTTGTTACCTAACAAATTAAAATTAGGAATTTATTATAATTTATCACCAGTTTAAATTAGTTAATTAGTTTTATTTTAAACTAGAATAAACCTATAGTTGCAACTTTATTAATATATATTTCGCTCAAACGAAAATCTTCTATAAATCTTAAAATCCCTAACCATACCTATTCAACTGACGCGCACTGTAGCAACAAGCAGGTTTTAAGTGGGGTGCTGCCAAATGGTTTTTAGTCGGTTTTTGCAGTGCTGCCAACCCATTTGACGCTGTTTTTTGTGTCATTCAATGTCTTTGGCACACTTTGTCGCACTGTTTGGCCCGTTTTGCGCCCTGTCTTGTTGTTTTTGCCACCTAAATTACAAGTTTTTCATTTGTGGCTTTTTCAGTTGACGCCATAATATTTTACACTTTGCCGGGGACGACCTGGCAAACCGCAAAAAAAAAACACTGAAAAACCCTGAAATTGCTTAACAATAGTAATTTGCAAATGATGAGCAAATGGCTTTAAATGTTTTAACAAGCTGCACGCGACGCAAATTGTTTTACTAAAGTGTTAGGAGTTAAGCGAAGGAAATTGTGAAATTATGTCAAAAATTACGCTACTTTTTTGGTGCATATCTTTTTTAACCTAGTTCTCTGTGTCATTATACTGTTTACTTTCTTTAAAAATAACCCAATTAGTCACTTTATAATATTTTTATTATATATGCAAAAGTTAAATTATTGAAGCGTACTTTTTATATTTAAAGTATTCCTTAAATCAAGAAATCCCGCTTCTAATTGCGAGTACTTTTTTTTATACTGCACGTGAATCTGAGTTCTTTCTTCTGATGAGCATTATACTATTTAGCTAATTCCCTTATATATTCAAAATGTATTTCCCATTTGCAGAAATCCACTCAGTTTTCTTTTACACTTACAATAAGTCCACTTCTTTTGCAGAAAATTCCTTATATTACTTATTTTCCTTTCCTTCTCCCAAATTTAGATTTAAATCTGTTTATTATTTATATATTTCAAAACCTTTTGCTAGTTTTTCATTTTAATATAAGTTCCTCCATTTCCAAACATACTTACCTTTACACATAGTACTCACATCCCCCGATTCAAATAAAATACATTTAATTTGGCTGTCATTTTATTCACAGTTTCAACTAAAAGTAAACTCACACTTGCTTAACAATGGCTAAATACTTAGTTAGGTTTTATAGTTTCTTAAACAAGCAGTATTTTTTAAATACTCACAAATATATACCAACAAAAAGACGCCTAAAAACAACAACGTTTAAACTTTTACACACGCAGAAGAAACACAAAAGGAAAATTCCAGATAATAAATTCAGAAATTTCTTGCTTACATTTTTAGATTTTTTTTTGCATGTCTAATGAATTATGTACATTTGACTTAGGTTTAAGTGAGACAATTGAAATATTGAATTTATACAGCATATGTTTGGTATTTTTATTTATCCTTTTACTTATTTTTTTTAAATTTTGGTATATGTACTATGTATACCATGTATATATATATTTGATTTATGGGATTTGAGGGCGCGAGGAAAGGCAGCTCTCTGTCTATGACGCACAACAAACATCCGCTAAATGTTAAAGTTAGTGACAAATGTTACTAGTCGATTTGCTATATATATATATACATATATATATACAGTGAAAGCTCATTGGAGCGGACAACCATGGGTCAGTTTCTTCTTTGAGATGTGCGAAGATATTTCAAAGTAATAAGAAAATCGCAGAAAAACTTACAGCAAAATAATAAATTCATCATTTCTCATATATTTTTCTTTCGGAATTTTTGCATATGTTTAATGGTTAAAAAATGTTGATTTTAATTTTTGTAAAAAAAAAGAATAGAAAGTTTCGCACTGCATGCAGTGCGAGGACTCTTCTAACATGCAGGTTCGTAGGTAAACTTTTTTTATAGTCAGCCAATTTCTAGTTAATTCTATTTCCTGGTTTTCGAAAAAATTGGCTGTCCTTGGTGGTTATCCAACCCCATTCCTTGAGCGAATAAAAAGTCTTACAATTAAATTGTAAGAATCTTGAACAGAAAAATTAGGTGATAGCATGAAAACTGAAGTTTCAAGGATCCTTTAACATTCACTGTATACTATATGATTTCTATAAATGTTTTGAGAGCTCCATGTATATATCTAATTATGCATATAGGCTTTTGCCTCGGCTTCTGCCTAGGTAGCCTTAGCTTGCGTTTTGAAGTCTCCATTTCTCCAGGCAGCTGCTGATCCTCGGGCCAGCTCATCACCGTAGCTCCTTACCCAGCGTGGCTAGCTGCGACTGCGAGCTGCTGCAGCAGCTCGGGTCTCGGCTCCTCCTGTGCGTCCTGCTCAGATGAGCGGCAGTCCAGGCCAAGTGCAATAGACCCATTAACAGGAGCCCAGTTAGTTGCTGTTGCCAATCGAGTGCGCAACGTCTGGGGGCAGCATCTGTGCGTGTGTGTGGCAAGGCAGAAAGAAAGTAGAGAGCGAAACATATTGAAAGCGGCTTAAGTTTGTGTTACGTTGAATCCAAGTGTGTGTGCATGCATGTATGTGTGTATGTGTGTGGGTGTATGGTGTGGGTTGTGTCTGTGGCACCCGCTGGTGAAATTAATCTTTGAATTAATTGCTTGTAGCTTAGCGCAGAGCATTAATAAATCGTGGCGCAGCACAAAGCAAACAACAACAATAGCTAATAAGGTGAGCTGCTGCCTCCTGCCTTCAGTCTCCAGCGTCCTGCGTCCTTTTTCCACTAACTTTGATTTAATGCTCCACCGTTTATCATTCTAATAGCGTGCGTGTAATGTATCCCAATCCCCAGCGGTCTCCTTCGCATTTGTTTTAGTTGCAAAACAATCAGGCTAAGATTTGTATACCTACTCCATCAGGCTGTGTGTGTGTGTGTGTATGTGTGAGTGCGTGGTGTGTGCGGTCTGTTGGTTGACCAATGCTTATCTTTAGCCTGGGCTTTGGGCTAATTTTTAAACAAACGTTCAGCACTTTTGCAATGTTGCGCCCAACTAATGTGCGGCTCTTAATCAAATGAGTTATTGATTACGCACATTGGCGAAACGGGAAAAGGCCAAAGGGTCCTTTAAGCGTTCAAATCCTTTGGAAATTGTTTAACACAATAGCATCCAACAGCCGAGGTTTGGACTTGAACTCTTTTATCATTCAAAATGTGTGAAATTGTTTAAACTTGAAACCGCAATTCACAACATATCGCAAACATTAAAAACGAATTGAGTTATACATAAACATATATATATATATATATATGTATATATATAATGACAATGACAATGACAATGACAATGACAATGACAATGACAATGACAATGACAATGACAATGACAATGACAATGACAATGACAATGACAATGACAATGACAATGACAATGACAATGATAATGATAATGATAATGATAATGATAATGATAATGATAATTATAAATTTATTAATTACGATAATAAAAACAACTATTTTTGAACATATCAGTTTCAGGCAATAATTTTTGATCAATTTCTAAAATGTGGAAATAAGGAAGGTATGGATTCTGAGGGTCAAACATAATTTTTTATCAGTATCGATGGACTAGTCGATGTCTACTTTTATATATGTATATACTAATACATAATATCTGTGATTTGTGGTAATATATATTTTATCACTCCAAGCATCAGACAAAAAGCACAGAAGTTGATAAAGAATAACATTTAAGGTGAGGGTCTGAGGCAAGAACCAGCAAAGCCATTTGTTGTGTGTGTGTGTACGTGATTATTTGTGTATGGATTTATGTTCTGTTCTATCTATATACATATATATATATATATGGTAAGTAAGATGTGGAGTCATTGACTACCAATCTACCTTCCATTTAAGATATTTGTTCAATTTTGTACTCACTTTTGTACTGTAAACGGAGATCATTATGCTCATCCGCATCGCCCGGCTGGTCGAAGGGATACATATTCATATCCGGCGAGCGGCCTGAGGCCAAAATACGCGGACGATCCTCCTCGATAAGTTTTTCGCTCTCCTGTGCATAGATATTATGAATGCGGGCTGAACACTTTAACTGCGATAATAATATGAATATTTAAGACTTTATGCATTATTTGGATGAAGCAAAGAAACTCACCTTAAGGCGACCTTTGATAAAATGATGCGTTGTCACGACAAAATTGAGCTCCAGAACGGCTGACTCCAGGTGCTCGGCCAGATGTCGTTGAATGTCATAGGTACGCAAATAATTTGGTGGCACCTGCAAGCAAATAAATTAATAAAAATATTATTGAAAAGCTATATACAAAAAAAAAATTATTTATATGCAGTAAAAATGTATAAATATCTTGAGAAAACATCTATATATAAAACTGTTTGTCCTGACTGACTGACTTAAGACGGGGTTTTGGGAAATTCCACCCGCAAGTGTGGGAAAATCGCGAAAAACGTTTGTATGCAACTTTTTTGTTTACCATTCGATCGGCCTCAAACTCATTTTCAAAGATCTTTGTTCAAATTCATTTGAGGGGTGTTACGCACTGTTTGGAAAATCCATCCCCCCTTAGTGGAAATGGGTGTCAAAAATTTGGTGGGTGACGTTTCGCCCTCAAATTCATTTCCAAAGATCTACATGAAAATTCATTTGAGACGTGTTTTTCACTTTTCAGAAGAAGAATCTAAACTTCTTCGGCAGAAATGCAAATCAAAGATTTTTTTGGTGAAGTTTTAAATTTTTTTTCGATTTGCTTCAAACTTATTTTCAAAGCATAAGCATTTAATGAAAACGTGTTTCAGCGATTTGGGAAATTCCACCCGAAACAGTGGTAAATTAGCGGAAATCGTTTGTATCCATCCGATTAGTTTCAAAATCATTTTCAAAGCTTTTTGAGAACATTTACTTTACACGTGCCACGGGCATACCCGATAGTATATAAATAAATACAAATATACCTGTATGTCATTGATCCACCAGGTGAGATTAGCTGCTGGCTTTGAGTAATCCGACGAGCAGTTGCCATTGATAATATCGCCTAGCCGATAACGTGAGTGAATGCCCGTTATAATGGGCCGCTGAGTGGGCAGCTCTGTATATTAAAAGCAAACATGAATATTATTATTAAATAATACACAGCAGGCAGATTGAGTAACTACATACCCACAACTTCCATATCCGCAGCCACAATGGAGGTATCGAATGTGGGCGCATCTGCGGATACTTCGCAGGCAAATTTGCCAGATATGGAGGTGGGCACATTGCGTAACAGCACGTGGCTGGCATTCGATTGTGTGGTCTGTGAAGAGATAGTTGTGTTTTAATTAAAGTGCTTCATATTTGGTTATGGGGGTTAATGTGGAATTGATAAATGTAAATGTTGAATCGGTGTTAAACAATTTTTCATATATATATGCCAATAAAAATGAATTACGAACGCTGAAAAATTTCAGTATTATAAGAAAATGGTTGTGGAGCATCAGACTTTTTATGATTATTTGAATTTAATATCTTTTTATATTTTTGCATTTGTGTTTTATACGACATATAACTATAAACACAAATAAGTAAATACATTTAAAAATAGATTCTTCTTAAAACCTAAAGATTTTTAAATCTTAATTTTTGTCCAAATATAGGCAGCAATAGATTTATGTACTGCCTAATAGTATGCTTTAATAAAATGTTAACTATCGATGCTTATGGGAGTACAATATTATGTTGCCTACTTTTAGTCTGCATTTATAAAATAATGATATCTTTCCTTTCAAAAGAAAAATGACTGGCTGTGAATATTTAAGTAAAAATTAAAAATTCGTTACAGAAACAATAATAAACGATATTTATAAAGGAAATCAGCTTCTCAAATGTATATACCTATATTTGTTAAAGCGGAAAAATCAGTACAAAATAAAAAAAGAAACTATAAGAAAATCCATTTAGAAAAGAGAACTTAATAAATGAACAGCTAGAATTCAGATTGAAAAAACATTAAGGCAATATGAACAAAGTGTAAATAAATATAAATATATCTTGAATGTAGAATTAACGCATAAATAATTAGTTACCTTTATTTGGACTGATTAATGTGCAGTTTTTAAACAACAAAATTCTCCACTGGTCGCACAAAGAGTTATTGTACTTAAATATAAATATATATGCATAATGCACGTTTATGAAAGATATTTTCTGCTGGGCCGCAAACATGCTGAATGCAACAGCTTGGACACAATTTTGCGGCAGTTCGCTTTTAATTTTCGCAATGTCAGCAAAAGTCAACAATAAAATGCACCGGATAAAATGCCAGTCGGAGGACATGTGTGTGCGTATGTGTGTGTGTGTGGGTGTAACAACTGCAGCAGCAGCAAGTGAAAAGTCAAAAATGTTAATTAAAACTTTTTAACATGCATAAAACAAACATCGATACACACACACATGCACACATGCACACGCGAGAGATGGAACTGAGGCGGAGGCAAACTGTTTACAGCGCAGCTTGTGATCTTTGTTGTTGCTGTTGTTGTTAATACAACCACCAGCAACAACAACAACAAAAACAAAAAGTTTCTTCGAGCTGGTGACGAATAAATACCCTAGCGAATAGTTGTGCATTATATGACTCTACCTAGCCACACAGAGGTTTATTAATGCATATATTCAGCTCAAGCTGATTGACCCTATAGGAACTACATGCTATAGAAAGGCCGATATTCAATAGACTTTGTTTGTATTATGATACATTTTTTAGGAACATAACAAATCACATAATTACTGAGTTTTGTTCAAATATCTTTAAAAAATCACAAGTTTTTGATACTTTTTTACTGTCCATCTGATATTTTATATATGATATATCTAAATGGTATAGTAGTGAAAAATTGTTAAATAAGATAAATTAAAATAAAATAAATATAATGTTTAAGTATCGGGAAAACATACTGTTGGCTCATTTAACTAAAATTTCCTGGAAAACAAAAAGTTTCCTATAGAAGTAAAATAAGGCGAGGAACTTTTGACTGCTAGTTTCCGTGGGCGCTATGGGATATATAGATTGATATTGATGACGTTTTGCTGACATTAAGAAACTGAGTGAAGCCACTAAAAGTTGAGTTTTATTTTAGTTTGGGATTATCTTGAAAATCGAACAAGTTCTTGTCTACAAAATAACTGGCCTGGCCGCAGTAAAGAGATGAAACTATGCCAATTATATCAAGCGTCTCTTTCAATACGTCGCTTAAAGCTTCATAAAATCAAAATACCCTTCGCTAGGGTATGAGAAAAACATTTTGCAGTTATTTACAGCAATTTACATTGGCAGCTCTTTCAGCTCTCCTTCTCCCTCTCTTTCTCTCTCTCCCTCTCCCACGCACACACTTTTGAATCATCATCAATGAACATGATTACGAGCTTTTGAGCTAAGAGACAACAGAGACTCACCTCGACATCAATTTCGTTGGTTTTGGTGAATATCTTCCAGGCGGGATTCTCCTTGGGCGTATACCGATAGAACTCCCTGCGACCCCTATACCATTTAACCGCATAGAGCGTGTCGTTCTCGATGTCATAATTGCAGATTAAGAGGGCATTATCGCCGCGTTTAACGGCCGCCGGAATGTGAACGTTAACATTGCGCAGCCCAGCAGCCAGCTCTGTAAAGAGAAGAAGAGAGAGGAGTAGTGGGATTGAGTGGGTGGCCAGACTGAGAGAGGTGTGTATATGTATGTACATAGAGTATGCCCTGCAAGTTAAGCAACCCGTGAGCATTGTCACAAGGGCTTAAATATGACAAGTTATTGTAGCTTAATTATGATACCAGGCGGCTTACATTGGATTTTTGTGCATGGGAAAACTTTTGAGAGCTTCACGACAAACGCTCGCTTTAAGCTGTAAACTGTGTACACGTTTATAGAGATGTGGATATAGACTTTTGATAATCATCCCTTTAGTTACAAAGCAGCCAAATTAGCTTCAAAGACCGATTCAATTTGAATGAAAAGTGCTAATTTTATAAGTTGTTATTTTCTGATACAGTATAAAGACTCTTGAAAGTTATAGCTAAGCTTAATGATAAGAATAATTAATAAAGGAAATTATTATAAATAAGATTGAAATTATTAATTTTAACCACTTTCATTCTTTTTTATTCGATAGCATAATGCGCCTTGAATTTAAAAACCTTTATAAATTTACAATATCTTTGTTTCTGATTTTTTGTTGTCATTCATCACTTTTTGATACAGAATTGTGTACAAATAATACTTTTTTCATGGAAAAATAACCTCAACTACTTATGTATGCTAAGTCATAATAATCATCTGACGCCAATCCATTCTTTAGTTCGAGAGAACCCTGTACGTTCATTATATTCACCACCAACTAATATATTCTTACATGAAAAATAGTTTTATTTTCTGATTATTTACCCAAATCTTCTCTCATTTCAAATATGTATACCTAAATATAGTCTCTTTATAATAAATCTCAAAAACCTCTCTCGAGAAAACGCTAAAATTTCATGAAGACCCAAAAAGAAAACACACCGAGTCCAAAAGGTAAAAAGTGGGTCAGAGATCGTCACGAGCACAAAAAAAAAGACAAACTAAATAAAACGTACAGCCGAAAAAAAAACTACCTCTTATACATACATATATAACAGAGCATATAAACACACGCATACACATGCCCGTCTGCATGTGATGAGTGGAAGCGAGACAGCAAGAACATAGGTAGCCCCGTTTATACACGTAAAGCTGATAAAACATTTTGTTTTTGTTTTTCCCTTCAGCGCTCTTGTAGGTTGCTTTTGGCCAGATCGCCGGGTGCTGCCCTTGCGTCCCTGCGCGCCTGGCCGTTTTTATAAAAAACTTCCTAGTAAAATTAAAAATCGAGAGTGAATTTTGTGTTTTCGAGTCATGCGACACAACAGGTCGCATGCGGACTATCATAAATCATAAAGCCGACCATCCACATAGGAAATTGCGCTGCCACCGATTATCAGGGCTGCAGGAAACCTTGTCAAGTGCTAAATACATATGTAATCGGTAGATTAGTAGTAAAATCGGGTTATTGAACTTGCGCATATGAAAGAAACTGAAAGTCGAGAGGGCTCTGGGCAAGTCTGCACGACGCATAGATACGACGTGCAGCCAAGTTCTGGGCTTCTGCTTTATTGTTAATCTAATTTGAATATGAATATGAATTACGTCTGTTAATAATCGACAGCATCTATATTTACAGATATGTATAGCCGTATGTACTATTCATACACATGTATACCAAATTTGGTATCTCTGAGTTCGTCTGAGTCAGTCGAGTTGGTAAATCTTATTTTCTCATTTAATGTTTACAGGGTATGCAAAAAAGTGATGACAGTCTTGTTGTAGAATGTGTTGCGTTGAACGAACTATCATAAATGCCGGTACCAGAATCAGATTCATTCATTTATGCTTAAGTATTTCTTTATTTTTATTTGCATTTTTTTTTTATTTTAAACTATTTATTTATTTATGTTGTTTGTTGTGTTTTATTTTCAACTTTTTTTTATTTATGTTTTTGTATATTTATTTAATTTTAACTATTTATTAATTTATTTATAAATAATGAAATAAATAAAATATATTTAAATTATTAGTTTATGTATGTTTATTATGTCAATGTGCATTATGTACATACATATATAAAATACTATATGATACCTAAAGCGTTATAAAAGGTAATAACTGTTCATTCATGATTAGAACCTAGACAGGACCGGAACCGGACTGGCTATTAATTTGTATATATACATATGTATATTTTAAATAATGTTTAGTAATTATCCCATTTTCAGTTGTCTTGAACTATGACCATATTTTCAGATTTTAAGATCTTTTTAAAATATATAAGTTATAAAGAGAAATAAGGCTTCACCTAAAATGGATGATAAAATGAAAATTCCAGTTTATCTATAAAGCAGTTCCCCGGAGAATAAGAACAAACTCAATATTATATTTTACTTATATATCCCTAGTTAATAAGTAAATAATAATAAATAAATAAATAATAAAACTAGTTCGATTTCCTAAAACAATTTGACCCGCTTTCAGAGTTTGTGTAGCTTAAAAGTTTCCTTAATCTAGATCTTATGATGATTTCGAGTTAAAAGGAAAAATATTTTCAGTATTCAAAGAATTGTAAGAATAATCATAAAGTTTTCCTAGGAAATAAAGATAACAACACCAATATTGTTTTATAAGTAATAGTGAACCACATAAGATATTACTAAAGAATAAGGGATAGCCATAATACAGCCATAATACAAATCTTAATATTATGTATGTATGTATGTACATATATATAAACAAAACCACACCATAAACTTGTATTTCAATGTAAGGCACATGTATATGTAAGACTGTATTCAAAAAGTAGTTCTAAGTAAATAAAGGACTCAAGACAATATTATACCACAAGTTTGTATAGTTATGTATGTAAGCAAGTATTTCTAGGTGGTCTAGGCGCAAAGTCAACATGCATCTTAAGATTTAGCTACATAATATGGATGTGGGTATGGATTCGAGGCGGCACAAGAACCGGTTGTTGCTTGGATCCGGACTGGTAAAACAATTGCTTAGCTTGTTGCGTGTTGTTGGATTGTCCCCAAGTGGGGAACTGCTGTCGACCGTTGTTTCGGATCGCCACGCGACGCGACGCGTCTGTCAGCTTATTTCTGGTTAACCTTGAATGCTAATTGTTGTTTCACGTTGATTTTTATGGCACTCGCGAGCTCTGTACACGGTTCGTTGCTGTTGTTGTTGTTGTTGTTGTACACATATCAACATAAAAATTTCATGCTGCCCCCAGACCGGGGGTGCCTCCACACAGTTGCTGTGCGCCGGTTCCAAATAGTACGAAAAAACTAATCACATACGCCGTGTCGTATGCCGGCGCTCATCTAGCCGGGCAGCTGCGCCCAATGGGCCGCACTTTGCGTAAATTTGCGTAAACAAAAACTATTTGTTTTGCCGAAAAAGACAACAAAAACACACAAGCCCAGAGAGGAGCCGGCTAAAAGCGAGCACACTTTGTGGTAGTTTGTCTAGAGCATCTACAACTATTTAGAAACCGTTGCTGTTCTATTTTGGCCAGGCCAACAGAAGGGTTACCAAGTGCTCGACGCGCGGCCAAGTTTAAAGCTAAACAAAAAAAAAATAAATAAATAACATAAAGGAAGCCTTGAAGCGCACAGTGATCGGACTGGAAAACCTTGGAAAACCGAAAAAACAACAATGCGAGCAACAATAATGTTCATACTACCGAATACTCATAATGTGAGCAAGAGCATGAGTATGAGCATGAGTATGAGTATGAGTGTGAGTGTATTTATAAGTATATATATGTAAATCAACTAAACATACAAATATACTAGAAGCTACAGAAGCAGAATGGCAATCAAATAAATGCGGAAGAGCAGCTTTTATGAGAATGAAAGAAAACAGAAACAAATTCAAGCTAAATCAATATAGAAAGATCTCTAGGAATTTTTAAGGATTTATTTATATTGTATATATGTGCGCCGAATATATATAATTCAATTATTAGAACACGCAGAATTTTCCAAAAAAAAGCTAATGTTTAAATATATATGTACATATATACCTATATGTATATAAAGGTATATGTATATGTACATATATTACGTTGTTAATTAATTAAAAAAAAAAAATAATAATAATATATTAAGAAGCATATTATAAATTATTATAAATATAAAAATGTTACCTATAGTAATAATATGTATTAATAAATACAATTAAAAGTTATGTTAATTTAAATAAATTTTTTTTATATTTATTTTAATAATGTTATAATATATACAATACAAAATGTACAATATATATAAATAAAAATTTTAATTTTCACTTTAATTATAATATATCTTAATAGCATGAAAGATATAATAATATGTATGAATAAAATCAATTAAAAATATAAATACAATTTTAATATTTATATTTATGTGTTAGTGATTATAATACAAATTATATTAATTAAAAAAGAGTTATAATAGATATATAAAAAAAATATTAATATTAATATGTGTTAATAAATACACTTAAAAATTAATTTAATATTTTCTATCATATTTGTATACATAGTCCAATATTTTATATTCAATAAGAAGTTATTTATATATGTGTATATAATTATTATGATAGTTGTATTTCTAAAAGTATATTTATATTAATATTAATAAACATTTTCAATAATAATTTATTTACAATACAGTAATTATATCCTATCATATCTTGGAATTTTTAAAATTATATTTATATAAATAATGATAATTTTAATAAAAAAAAACATCTCAATCATATCTATAGTATAACCAAAATGATAAATATATGTAAATAATCAAATGATAGATGACATTGCAAATATCTAGTATTTATTTATTTACCAATGCTGGTAGCTTCGAGATTATGTTCAGGTTCTAAAAGTATTAATTTAATACTAACAAAAATTACATATTAAAAAAAATCTAGTATTTCCAAAATTCTGATTATTCCCCTATCCCCCTATGATTCCCTGTCATATTTAGAGCATTCCCAAATACGCACACAAAACAAAACATTTTACAAACCCACTTAAAAGACCCATTTTGCCTGCGGGTATTTTATTTTATGCTGTTGCTTCTCTTTCCCATCAATTGTTAAAGTTTTCAATATCAGCCCAACCCAAAAGCAGCAACAACAAACGAGGTCAACAGCGAGAGAGAGAGAGAGAGAGAGAGAGAGAGAGAGAGATAGAGACAGTGGGACAGAGAGAGGGAGGGCGATACGCATAACGAAAAATATGGAGTCGAGTGCCGTTCAGCAGGGCATTATGTTTGCCTGTTACTTTGTGCCTGTATATTATCGATCATGATTTAAAAGCGAAAGTGAAGACGGCGGACAACCACCACGAAATGCCCAGCTCCCCCCGCTATGCACAGCAGTAAAGGCAGCAACGGGCGGGTGTCGCGGTAGCTGATTCAGAGCTAGCGGCATGGCAACGGGCAAATATATATGTATAAATGTGTGTGTGCGAGTGTGTGTGTATGATAATTGTACGCAACAGTGGCCCTCAATTTCTTGTTGATGTTGATATAAAAGCTTCATGTTTTTCATGCGACTGTTTGTGTTGCGTCTACTTCTGCTGCTGCTGTTGTTGTCATCTGCGCGCCTGTGCCATAAACAAAGCAAGCTATCGATTTCTACATAAAAAACGAAAGTGATGGCCGCGACGACATACACATACATGGTTGGCCCTGGTGCAATCGTGCCGTGGCCGGGGCCCTGGCATACAACATCATTTAACCCAGTTTTGGGCAAGGGCAAACGCCTTACATTGACCCCGGTCGCAAGGTTCAATGCGCTGGCAGTCGAAACGAAGGTAAACGCCCCTCAACAGTGTCACGTTCAGGGACCGCCCATGACCCAGCGACAGCGACAGGGCCAGCGATCGGCGACGATTGAAAGAAAAATCAGACGCCTTTTGCGTATAGCAGGCGCGCAGTCGCAACGACCAGCTGCCAACAGCATTTACAGTTGCTTTTTTTCGGCAGTTCAACGAACCGCGCACACGCTCGAAATTTTCGAAGTTCGTTGACTGGCAAAGAGAACGCCAGCAGAAAGAGAGCGCAACGTGCGGAGAGCGCGCAGCGCGTCAGCATTACAGCGCTGACGTCAACGCGATCGCGTACACTTGTTGCGAGAAAGCTTGAGCGAGAGCGTGAGAGGGAGAGGGTGGCGTGAGTATTGACGATTGGTTGACTCTTTAAGGCTAGAAAGCCGTTGGGGTTTATTTGACAATTTTAATGAAGCGCATGTGAAACTGCATTTAGCTTGATATAGAATAATATTCGGTATATATATAAATTGTTTAATGGACAGATATATATTCGATTATTTTCATGAATTATATGTGTATAGAAAGATAGTTTTCTTTGCTAGTACTACCAGCTGTACCCATAATTATGTCGGCTAGCTTATCAGTTAAATACAACTTTCTCATACGTCTAGTTCGAATAAGTATCCAAATTAGCTGGATCGAACTATGAAAATTGATTTATTAAAAAAAAACAGCTTGGTTTGTATATTATATGAATTCATGTATTCTACTATATAATATTCGCTGGAATATACACCTATCAAAAGTTTTATTATTCAAATTGATCTTAAAAATATTATTATTATTATAATGATAATTCAAATAATTATTTTTAAATCATGCTTCTATTAATAAAATCAGATATCCACCAATGTATACCCTAACCTACTATACGAATATAAGCCATAATTATTTAATACCTCCTTCGAGCGTATCAACAAGCTAATCTAATAAGTTTTTCAAAGCGAATTTGACATTATTACCAAAACCGCCGCATTTCTAGGGTTAATTTAACAATCGCTAAGCGGTCCGCCTTATAGAGGCGACTAAACAACAAACAACCATCCAACTTAGTATATTTTTGCTTTTCCTGCCCGCTATAAAACAATAATTTTTTTGTTTAATAAGAAATCATAAACTTTTTGGAACAAGCGCGCAGCAAACGCTTGAAAGTCATTTATTCAATGCATTTCACACGCCCCACAACTCGTGTGGTTCCAAATGGAAATGGAAGTGTAAGTGGAAATGGCGGGTGGGGTGGGGGATACTGAAACGGGCGAGCGTTAAGCCCGCACAAGGTTGTCTGATAAGCGCAGGCAATAGCACGCAGCTGGAAGCAAAACATCAAATGAAATTATGTAACGCGGGTGTGTGTGTGTGTGTATGTGTGTAATGTATTGTTGTGCGTGTGAAGAGAGCGTTGGGAAGACTCCAGAGCAGCTAAAAAACGCCTACACGCATATTAACCCATATAATATGCCCAATAAGACGATCTTGTGCGCAATCTACATACAAAATTTGCATATTGATGAGTTGACTCTGCTTCCATTTGAAACACTTTCGATTTCAACGAGTTTCTGTGGCGAATTCTATGCGGAGCATTTATCCAAAATCACAGGCGTACAGTTTTAAAGTGGACGTGTTTGTATCTGCTTCGGTTCAGTCATAAAGTATTTCTCGTTCGTTGTTGTGGATAAAACGTGATTTCTCTGAGCTCTATATACATTTGTAACTTGTATGTGTTAGTACACTTAAAGAATAATCAAAGCAACTTATATGCTTAAATTTTTAGATAAAACATTCATTTAAACTTTAAATTTCAGAGAAATAATCTCTTGTCCATTCAAGAGGAGTGTCTGCTTAATAGAGAATGAATGGATTGCGAGAGATTGTGTCTGATTCCACCCCTCTTGCGTTCACTAGGAGAAGTTTATATATATACATATATATAAAATAGAACAATACTAAAAACCGATTTGTTAAAAAATTGTTTGGTAAAAATTCTCTTGAATTCAGTGAACTCCCTTATTGGGCAAAAAACCCCTAATACAATAATGACATAATCATATTTTGTACATTTTTTAACTTTCTTACACTTTTTTCGTTCAGTGCATTTTTCATTATTTAAACAAATGTGTCCAAAGCTAAGCAGAGAATTTCAAATCAACGAATAAACAAATTAAACCCGCATAACAAAAGCGATAAATATATATATGTGTGCGTGTGTGTGGGTGTGTATGTGTGTGCGCTGAGAGGCGAATACACACACACATGCGCACACAAACGTATATACAATGTGCATGTATTAAAATGATTGGGCCAACTACGGCATTATCAGTGAATGGTCGCTGTGCGCGTGACGCGTTGCTTCTTGAAAGCTGTACGCCTATTCGAATTAGTACAAAATAATACCGTATTTCCTAGAGTTTTACGGATTTACCGTTACGCCGTAGGAGCATAGAAGCAACGCTATGCTGAGGGCAAAGCCAAAGAGTGACAGACTGAGTGAGAGAGAGAGAGAGAGAGAGGGAGAGAGAGAGAGAGGGAGGGAGAGAGGGCAGGCAGTGATGATCGCCCGCTTTTAGTACAGCCTTCATTTCTGTGTGCCGGGCCTCGATTTATGGCAAACAAGAAGACGCAGCAGCTATTATAACCAAACGATCTGCCTTCGCAGCCAATAAACGTATTGTTTTCTTTTCGCCTTGTTTGCCGTGACGGCGCTCTTAATAAATATTTTTATTTTGTTTATAAAATTTAGCAGCAGAGAGCGTAAAAAAGTTTAAAACATTTTAAATAGTTTGCTAATTGAACAGGCGAGCAGCAAGCGCAGACGATACGCACCTCAAATTCAGTTTCGTTTTTGTTTTCTTACGATTGTTTTGGATTCTTCTTCTTTTTTTTTTTTTTGGGTAAATGTTAAGCGCTCGCAACGTCGACGATGACGACGACGGCGGCAGAGGCAGAGGCAAAGGCAGCAACAACAATCGTAGCGTTCTCTGATTCACAAAGTGAAATCAGAAGTGAAAGTGGGTCACATGCGGATGAAGAGCGGCAATTAAAGATGTGAGTGCGTCACGAGCCCGGAAAAACGTCAGCGATACGCGTCACTGAACTGATTGTATCGTATTTGAAGATCTATATGTTCGACTAATTACATACTACGCAAATGTTTATATATATAAATGCTTGACGATTCATTCCCTAGAACAGCTTATCTGAATAAAGTTAGTCAGCAGTATATCGAACTAAATTGCGAATTAACTTTAACCTAAGACTCGTACATACTACAATATAAGTTATTTTTATACCCTGAACCCATTAAAAATGGGTAAACAGGGTGTTGCATTGGTGCTGGAAGAAGAGGGTTCAGGGAGAGGGTATCCCCTAGTCGGGAGCTTCCGACTGGAACCTCTCACTTGTTAATTTTAGTTGTATTTAAAATCTATATTAAAAATAAGAAAAATTTCAATACCCAAAACCTAACCCATAAGTTATAATATTTTGTAGCTTCATTCCATAAAGAAACAAATTGAAAAATTGTCAACTGCATAAATTAAAGAAAGTTCAAAATCTTAAATCTAAGATCTTAAGATTAAAATTAAAAAATCCTTATTATTTTATTAGCATTATTTTATTATTATATTTTTTATATCATATTATATGTATTTAAATTACATTTATATCTATATATATATATATTGTAATAATTATAAATTATGTCATATATAATTAATTAACAGGTATTTTAATTGATTAATGTTTGGTTATTAGTTTATTATTATTATAATTTCCTTAATATAAAAAAGTGCTGCAAAAAGGAGTCTTCGAAATTTATTTATATTGTATTTTAATTTTTTTTTTAGGTAAATAAAAATGGTTTTAACCTTATAACTTTTAAAGTTTTTTAATTTTTTAAAATTAAAATGTCATCTTTTCAATAATAACACCCAATGATATTTAATTGCATAGTCATAGTAGATTATGGATTAATTATTATAATAGGTAAATGTTCTTATCATATCATGTGGAATAAACATTACCAAGCAATCCCACATTTATACATTTGCAAAGCTAAGTTTTTTCTAAGGCAAATAGTATTTTAAATCTGTTTGACGCGGTCCAAGCTGTTTGAATATCCAGGGCATTAAATGAGTCAAATTAACAAAGAGTCCAGTTTTAGATTCGCTGCGGTTAACATTGCCGATAACGATGCCCGCTTGGGTGTATCGATTCATAGTCCCCAGCATGGGGCAGAAAAGCGAGGCACCACTGTTCAGAATGGCGGAATTTTGAAGATTCGCATCTATGGCACACATTACACTCTCATCCAGAGTGTAATTTTGCCTCAAATATGGTCTGGGCAGACGTTGATCGCACTTGTGGCTGGGCTGAATTTGGAAAAGCGTTTGTTGCGGCCTGCCGTTTGTGGCAGGTCGCCAGGCAGTTGTTTTGCAGGTACTGTAGTCGAATATGGTGCCCGGACTGGGCAGGCAGAGGGTTCTAATGTTTGGTTGGAAAAGAAACTTCATTTGCACAACGAGTAGGGCAATATTATTGACCACACCATAGAATTTTTCATGACTTATAATTAATTTCACCGAACGGTCTTGATGCGGAAAGGCTTCCGTAACGCTCCCAATATCCCATTCTCCAGCCCGTATCATCAGATTTTCCCGTTTTAAGCCCCGCAATAAACTGGCGGCTGTAAGCACAATATCTGGCGCAATCAGAGTTCCAGTCCCGATAAACCCTTCGTCATAGTGTATTTTCACAGTCCAAGAGAATTCGCCAAACTGTACGTCAGATGCGTTGATTACTTCGGCATACATAGATAATCCACTGGGATAACCAAAACCGCAGCCCGTTTCCTCCATTGTATCTTTAAACTATTCAAATATTATAATTCAGTTATAGGATCTGAGTTATTAGCTATTCTCCCTTATACCTGCGGAAAATAGTTGGGCGTACTGTTATCGACATTCGTTTGACTTGTTTCAATTGACGTTTTCTTAGTTACAGGTAATTCTTTTGGAATTATGTCATCGCCATTTTCAGCTGTTGAACTGGTTGCGTTTGAATTCACTATTCCATCAACGTAATCGATATTGAAGCTGTCGTCGAGATCGGCATCGCAATTTACTCCAGCTAACAAGCAGCTGGCAAAGAAAACGCTCAGCGCTCCATTGTAGTATAATCTTAGCATGTTTGTAAGTTTATTATTTTTTATTATTTATTTAAACACTTTTCACATTCTTCACCCTCTCACATTATCCGAAGACGATACGGTGCACCAAGAGTCTGAATACGAAGTACGCACCGTTTCTCTAATGTCGTTTAAACATGGAAGTTATACGCCCTTTAAAGCAATATGTATGCGATTTATATGTATGTACGATTTATCCGAAAGCTCATAAGTATGATTTAGATTTCAGTATAGTACGTCTTATACCCTGTATTATTATTTTAACAATTCTCTTTGTTAGTTTTATTATTATTATTATTAACTTAACTCAGCCACACTTTTTTGGTCTTTGGCTTTGTTAAATGGTTTTCCCTGAATCATGCATAACTTCAAGCATAAAAGTATATCTACATATTTTTAGGACGACTCCATATGAAAAAATTTTAACATTTCTTTAGTACAGTTTATCAGTCAGTCGAGCACTTCGTACTAAATACTATATATTATCGCAGTAAATATAGCTTGGATTATTCATAACTGAAACTGAAAGCTCTCTATTTATTTTTTACTTATTTGTCATGAAGTCTGCAGAAGCCTTTCCTCATTTATGTATACTACTATATAACGCGAAAATAATTATAGAAAAATAAATCGCTACAAATCTATATTCCTTTTAATTTAGAAAAGGTAATGAATAATAATGAATATTATAGTTTTATAGCATTTCAGTTCTCTTTAATTTTCAAACAGTTCATATTAATAAAGCTATCCTTAAACACATATATACTCTTTTCAAGTACTAGAAAAACATTAACTGATAGGTTGTTCACAGCCTTAATTAGTCGAGCGGACATTTTGTCACTCATCAACAATACTTATTAGTATTATCACAGCATTAATTAGCTCTCTACAGGCTTCTCTGCTTGCTCTGCTTTATATCTTTAATCATTCTTTAGAGCTGGCCACACTGAAATAACAGTTCTGCGCTTGCAGGATGTCAAGCTGAAGCTGAACTGCAGTTCCTGCCTCAAACGGCGCCCATTCATGTGCAGCTTGTCGGCAATGCTTGAGGGCCAGTTGACACGGCGACAGGTGTGAGCGTTGGCCTAAGGGATGGAGGGGCGGGGTATGGGGGCGTGACACTGCCATTCGTAGCCTGGTCACTTTTGCACATAATCATGTCACATAAAGCGCACGACAGCGGGCAGGATATGAACAAGAAGCAGAAGCAGCAGCAGCAGCAGAAGCAAGAGCAGAGAAAACAGCAGGAGCAGTAGCAGGAGCAGCAGCAGGAGCAGCAGCAGGCTTTGGCCAGGTGACATGTGTCGCTTAACTTTAGATGGCTGCGGGGCCCTCTCGGACCTGTTTCCTTTTTTGTGCATTTTCAATACTCTGCTCGCCAAGCCAAGAAGAGTTGTTTGGTTTTTGCACTCTGTCGGACATAGCGTGTGTGCCTTTCAGTTTGACATTCAATAATTCCTCTGCACCAACCAATTTCAGTTGTTGTCAAACTATGAACAGGGTATTGCGTAGTCGATTTCATCAAACGGCGGCATTTTTAGTTGCGTTCAGTTTGGTTTTTATGTTCAGTTTGTTGTGCTGTTGTGTTGTGCTTGTTGTGGGTTGACGCTTTGTGCTGCAGCCTGTAGCCGTACAAAGGATATGAGGAAGCGATTGTCGGTCGCTGGCACCTGGACACGATGGGTGTTAAAATAACAGGCAGCGAACATATTGACTTTTAAAATAAGCATTATGGCGGTAAATTTTTATGAAAACCTTCAGCCTGTCAGAGCCATTTCCCCGGGTTGCCAGTTTGCAAGTTTGCCCAGTTGGCCCGTTTTCCAGTTGCCGTTGGACGTTTGGCTCGTTGTCAGACAGCTGAGTGATTTATATGTATTGTTTAATATTATTATGGCTGGCAGTTTGCAGCTAGCAGGCAGCAGGTAGCAGGTGGCATGTGGCAACTGGCAGGCCTCTTGCAATCGCTCAGCCGCTCGTTCCGCCCGTCGCGTTGGCTGTGCAAAATGCGAAAAATTGAGCACATTACAAGCAGCCGAGAATGTCCTTGTTCATGTCCCGTATCCGTGTCCGTGTCCGTGTCCATGTTCATGTCCGTGTGGTTGGCAATAATTGTTAAAGTGTGCGGTCTGTGAACGATGCGAATGATGTACTGATGGCTCCCGGCCCAAAGAGTTGAGCCTTTCAGCCCGGGCCACAACAGCTTTTGAGTGGCCATTGAGAAACTTGACGTTGATGTTGCAACAACCGAGGCCTTCAGTTAACTCTTTAACTTGGACAGCTGATAATGGAATTTTTAATTATGACACTTTCAGTAAGCAGCTATCGGAACTGTACAACACGAAAGTATACACAGACAATGTGTTCGCAGAATACAATTGGACAGCTTGCGGAATAGTTAAAAGAATGCGATAAAAGGCTGAGTTACAGTTGAGTTGATAAATGTGTTTAAAATATTAAATACTTAATAAATTTAAATACAAAATAAAGAACTTTACTAAAGTTATGCGAAACTACATTAAGCTTAAAACCAAAATTAATGTGATTTATTTATTATTATTTAATTTACTATACTTAAATAACTCTACTTGAATTATACGATTCTACTTTAGGAACCAAACAATATTTTTTTATAGACTATATTATCTAAATGCTTATAGTTTAATAGTATTGTATAGTATAATTGGGAGTTAAATTAAATTAAATCAAATAAATAAATACTCTTAGCTTCCATAATGTAACATTGCTGTTCGCAGGGTTTTCAAGAAATTAATAAATTCCTAGGAGATCTAGGTGCACAAATCTATTATAAATAAAAGACAATCCCAATTTATGAGACTAATTGTTCGAAGGGAGAATTTAAAGAATTAAGTAAATATTCCTAGGGCTTAAAAAGCCAAACTATAGAACTAACTGGAAGGTTTAAATGAACTTATTTAATATTCCAACGGGTTCTAGGCATACAAATCTATTACAAATTGAAGACAAGGGCAATTTGTAAGACTAGCTGATTGAAAGACGTTTTTAAAGATCTTATTAAATATTCCTAGGGGTTCTAGGCGTACACATCTATTATAAATAAGAGAGAAAATCAAGGTTTAAAGGATTTTATTAAGTATTCCTAAGAGTTCTAAACGCACAAATCTATTATGAATTAAAGACAAAAGCAATTTGTAAGACTAACTGATTATAAGATCTTATCTTATTTCTCGGGCTTCGATGCGCACAAATCTATCAAGTAATAGAAAAAAGCAACTTTCAAATGTAGACAATTTCAAGTAACTCATTTTATTAAAGGAGTCCTTAGACATGCACACACACTCACAGCCACATTCAGACACTCACTTGGCAATTGAGTTAAGTTCTCACCTTAGAGGCAAACCCTTATCACTTTCACTTTGCGTATACCTTAAACTGACCCAATTACAAGCCGCATAATTTGCTCATTAAATCTATACAACTGAATAAACAGCGGCAAGTTGCGAGGATACAAAAACAACAACAACAGCAACAAAAACGAAGTTTGACATATTTAATGCGGGCTTAATTAAATTTCAAACCAGCAAATTTGGGTCCTTTTGTTGTTGTCAGCCACGCATTTTGTTTCAGCCCATTGTCAAAACTTGAATTTATAAATATATATGTAATGTATGTATATTATATATGTTATGTATGTAACAACAACAAAATATATATATTTAATTTTTTGCCATTATTCCGGCTTTGAAGCAAGTCAAGTGCAAGCGACGTTAACTGATTTTTTTACTTTAATTTTCTCGCTTTTCACGTGTTTTCATAAGTTGTAATAATAAAGCAAAAAGTAAATTAATATTTAATTAAATCGTCGGCGATCTGAAGCAGCGCTAATAAAAATACAAAGTGTATAAGTAAATACATACAAACGCATACAAATGTAGATGCATGCACCTATGTATATTTATATATGTACGCTGTGTACTTATGCATATTTAAATGTTGATATATGCATAATAATTAATTTCAATTTTGCGCTGCTGCGGCTTTTGTTTGCCACAACCCCACACACACACACACGCACACACACTATAGTATCCGCTCTTGATTGATTGCATTTTAAGTGTGTTTGTTGTTGTTGCCGCGGCGCACTGTGGTAAATATTAAGCATCGGCCTAAAAGTATGCAGCACTTTTTTATACAAATAAAAATAATATACAAATGTTTTTTTTTTTTGCCTTTTTTGCCTACAGCAGCACATAAATGCCTACATGGCGGGGGCGTGGCACTTAAGGTTAAGCTCCTGTGTGAACAGGTGCTCAGCGTGCGGCCCTTAATTACCATTTGAAAGGGTGCGCCTTGGCTGTGGTGGGCGAGTTGGGGTTTATTTTTACAGCATAAATCGCGGCTTAGCCACAGATTTTGTGCGTACAAATTAATATTTAATGTAACGTCTATTAAAGACTTGTATTAAATGGAAAGAGTTGAACGTGTGGGACATTTCGCAGTTGCCGACAGCGTGATACTCTGCTCAGAAAGGAAATAGGGTAAATGCATTTTTGATTAAAAGTACATATTTGTATATTTTGTAAATGGCAGTAGCCTATAAAATGTAGGTATTTCTATAAGCTTTCAGAATCTATACGAGCTATCTACTCGTAACTCTGTTAAATTCTCCAAAATCTTTAATGTCATCCTAAAAGTCCTTCAAATTGTAGAATATAGAAACTTTTTCACAAAAACAGCTATCGACACAAGCTATTGGTATCGATTGCAAGACAGTGTTGTAAGTGCTTGCAATAATTAACCTTTGTTAATAGGTAAAAACGTTAGAGGGCGCCCGGCAGATAGAAGCGCCCAGCAAAAAGTGTTGATTAGCCCAGATAAAATGCGTTAGCTATGCACAGGCATTAATATAATAGTAAGCCACAAATTCAGGCATTTAAATTATTCAGACCCAACACAATTTGTGCTCTTAAAAGAGATAGTCGAGTAGGAGGTGGAACAACAGGTAAATGAGATGTAATTGAGTAGCTGTGGTTGATATTTTTGCGTATTTTGCGGCCCTAATTGGAAATGCGAGAGAGGCAAGAGTTTAAGAGGTGGAAGTTTATAACTAAAATATCTATAGGCGAGCATAGGC